ATTGATTTCATCATTGTTTTGTAAGTGAAAACTATAGTTTTCTGATTTATGATTATGATCAATCATTTCCAGCATAGTGCCTAACATGCTCGATGAATGTTCAATGAGGGTTATTGTTTTGCAAAGAACATGTTAACATACCACAAGCAGTGGATCTTTTACCGAGAGTTCTAAGACCTATGCATAGCAATGTTAAATCTTTTAGGTCAATGAATCTTGTTTTTAAGATGATTGATTTTAGGAGTTAATTTTCCCCAATAAAAGAGAATGTCTCAAACGTGTGTGTCAAATTCATTGTGCCAGTTACCATGTTTTGAGTTTCTAAACTTTGGAAGTAGTATTCATTCTTTGTAGCTACCAATAGCTGATGATCAAAGCTGTTTACCTTTTGTTTTATTTGTCCTGTATTCTTGGAAATGATGGTTGTCAACTTGTAGTTGCCATCAACCAATTTGATTTCCTTGCTTCCCTCAAACCCCAATTTTCTTTCTTTTGTCTCTGCTCATGTTCAATTTGTAAACCACCTTGTGTATATAACAGATTGTTATTCTTGTGAAACAAATCTCATTCGTTGTAGCTCTAACACCTTTGTGTTTTGGTATTTTCAGAAATCTTAGAAAGTATAATAAAGCATTGTCACTAGAACCGATCCTCGAACAATGGCCTTGGCAAGGATTGCTAGAAGCAACCTTAGAAGATCAGGTGTTGCTTTTGGAAGTAATGCATATCAGAAGGATATGTTCAATGAGAGATCACATACAACCAATTCCTCCTTACCTTCTTCACATTTAGATGGAACTTTTTCGTATATTTCAAAAATTAAGGAACATAACAGCTTGAATTTTTCAATGAGGGGAATATCGGGAACTCCATACTATCGAACCCCGTCTTCTAACACGCAAAGGGTTGTAGAGGAGTCAGAGTCAGAGTTGGAAGATGATCGACAAAGATATGCAGGACTAGAAGCAACAAAACCAGGTGAAAAGCCTAGGGTGGTTGTTCTAGGTACCGGTTGGGCTGCTTGTCGGTTTCTTAAGGGGCTAGACACCAGAATTTATGATGTTGTGTGCATATCACCAAGGAATCATATGGTTTTCACTCCTTTGTTGGCTTCAACATGTGTTGGTACACTTGAATTCAGGTCTGTTGCCGAGCCTATTGGTAGTATACAGGATGCACTTTCAAAGAATCCCAATTCACACTTCTTTCTAGCTTCCTGCACTAACATTGACACAAACAAACACGAAGTGAGTAAAATGGCTTACCCTTCTTTTGATAGACTAATAATTTGTGTACATACAAAGTTTTTTCTAGTGAAATGCTTAGTTAATCTTAATTTAAACAGGTATACTGTGAGACAGTTGCAAACGGTGGATTGTCAAGAGAGCCTTACCAATTTAAAGTTGCGTATGACAAGCTTGTAATTGCATCTGGAGCTGAGCCTTCAACTTTTGGTATCAAGGGAGTTAAGGAACATGCATTTTTTCTCCGTGAAGTAAATCACGCTCAAGAAATAAGGAAGAGACTTCTTCTTAACCTGATGCTTTCTGAAAATCCAGGTTGGTGCTTCATATTCATACTAGTTTTTTAGGCTTAATCTGTTATATTAATTATGCAGTTGTCAATTGTTTTCCGAAGGCTAAGCTAGAAAGTGTTCATTTTAACAGGCATATCAGAAGAAGAAAAGAAACGTCTTCTGCACTGTGTGGTTATTGGAGGTGGTCCTACGGGAGTGGAATTTAGTGGTGAATTGAGTGATTTCATCTCGAAAGATGTTCGTGAGCGCTATACTCATGTTAAAGATTACATTCACGTCACACTAATTGAGGTGCATAATTTATATATTGAAGTGATGTGTGTGCTGAGGTTGTTAAATAAACTTAGTGTACTTAACCATTGTCTTAACTTTTCATGATTAGGCGAATGAGATACTGTCATCCTTTGATGTTAGCCTACGACAATATGCAATGAAGCACTTAACAAAGGTAAACCTTTTGCATTTTAATCATGTATATACCAAAGTTTAATCCTCGGAGACTAAGATATATAATTTTTGCATCAGTCTGGAGTTCATTTTGTGCGAGGTGTTGTGAAGGAAGTGCATCCCCAAAAGATAGTTTTGAGCGATGGAGCTGAAGTTCCTTATGGTCTATTGGTCTGGTCCACAGGGGTTGGTCCTTCAGAGTTTGTCAAAAAACTGAATCTTCCCGTATCTCCAGGTGGAAGGTATGTGAAGCCAAAATCAATGCATAATGTTTAAATTTTTCGTGTTTTTCTATCTCTGATTTTAATTTAGTTAACGTTGTTGAATGACACAGAATTGGTGTTGATGGTTGGATGCGTGTTCCATCAGTAGAAGATGTCTTTGCCCTTGGAGATTGTGCTGGTTTTCTTGAACAAACCGGAAGACCAGTGCTTCCAGCTCTAGCCCAGGTTAGCCTTATAGCCTATGCATTACTTGACAAGCAACTGAATGACACCAATGACATTACTGCAGAAGTAGGAAATGTTTATTTCATTATATTGGAAAAACAATCAAAGCATCAATAGTTGTTTCTCGATGTTTTATGACAGGTTGCTGAAAGGCAAGGGAAGTTCCTTGTGGAATTGTTCAACAAAATTGGGAAACAGGATGGAGGAAAAGCTTTGTCTACAAATGGTATCCCATTTGGAAATCCTTTTGTGTATAAACATCTTGGAAGCATGGCATCAGTAGGTGCCTATAAGGCACTTGTTGATCTAAGACAATCCAAGGTATCTATCTCTAATATCTAACTCACCCTTTCGAGTAAACTAATGATATGAAACAAAGCAATTAGTGAACTCCAAAACACAGTTTCTGATTTTGTGCTACATATATATATATGTTTGTTTTTTGTAGGATGCGAAGGGATTGTCACTTGCTGGTTTTGTGAGCTGGCTGGTATGGCGTTCAGCATATCTTACACGGGTGCTGAGCTGGAGGAACAGGTTTTATGTTGCAGTAAACTGGGGAACCACTTTTGTATTTGGCAGAGACAACAGCAGAATAGGTTGAATTTCGGTTGCAGCATTGTAGCAAAACCAATCAACTTTTTTGACACATTATATTGCTTGAGTGGTTAGCTTATGTATTCTTTTGTTCTTTTTTTGGTATTCACTGTAAAACTTATATCATATCATGATACAAAAAAGTTGGATAGCATAAATATGATATGTTACAATAATTTATTCTACATATATTATAGTTTCATTGTAAAGTATTGTGGGACAAGCTCTGCTTTGAGTACAAGATCGTCAAATTAATTTTCGGTAATAGAACAACATTCTCTTGAGAATTAACTTTGTTCATTTTAATCTCTTTTGATATTTTCAAAACCATAACCACTTATATATAGCAAAGAATGCATGGTAGATGATGTAACAGTTAGTTATATATAGCAAAGAATACATGTATCTGCATGATGATCCACTTATACTAACATAAGTCAATGCATATGTAAAGCTATGTACTAGTTGCCTAAGCTAGTCTCCTAATACTCCCCACAAGCTCATGGAGGGATGAGAGCAACGAATTTGAACTTGATGCAAAGTTCTTGAAAGACGGCAGTTCTCAAAGACTTGGTAAGTGGATATGCAAGTTTGAGAGAACTTGGAACATGTTAGATCTTATGCAAGTTTGAGAGAACTTGGAACATGTTAGATCTTTAAGAGCTTTGGAATAACACTCTCACGGACAAAGTCTCACGGACAAAGTGAATGTCCAACTTGATGTGTTTGCTTCGAGCATGCAGAATCGAATCATGTGACAACATAACTGTACTAAGATTATCACAAAGCAGGGTAGAAGACTGAAATGGCACGTGAAGTTCTTGCAGAAGCGACTCAAGGCAAAGCAATTCAAACATAATATATGCAAAAGCACGATATTCGGCTCCATGCTAGAGCGAACCACCAAATGATGCTTCTTCGAACTCCATGAAACAAGATTCGAACCAAGATATTGAAATTGCTATAGGAACGAAGACAAAGATTGCACGAGGGTGGTGCTAGAGAAATGAGAAAGCCATGATCATGGGTGCCAGTAAGGTAGCGCATGATGCATTTAATAGCTGCCCAATGAGAGTCAAGAGGGGAAGCCATGTATTGATAAGCTTTATTGACATTGAAAACAATATCAAGAAGAGTAAGAGTAATATACTAAAGCATACAGAGTAACACTTTGATGAGAATAAATGAAAAGAGAGTGATCACACTTATTGTGACTGAAATCTAACTGAACTAGTGTCTGAGTTAGTTTCTGATACTAGACACGAGATGCTTGTTTGAGCTCATAAAGATGCTCTAAGGGTAGAAAATATTTGTAATTTAAAAAAAAAATTAGTTTATTTTTTTTGTTAAGACTATTCGGTATGTCAACACAAGAAAGTATGTTTGTTTTAAAGATTTTTTTTATTAGAAAAATACTTTAATAAGGCACACATCAGATATATAAATATATAAACTTTTTTATTTATAAATATTATCTCCGTATTAGTTAAACATGAGGTTTCCCCACTTTACTCACGTGTAATTCTTTTTCAACATTTTTTATTTTGATTTTTCATTCATAAAAAAAAATCACAATTACATGCTTACGTTCTTTTCGAACAAGAGAAGGTAACTAAAAAAATCACATTAAACAACTTGTCACCAACTCAATTAGTGTTTTTTTTATAAGTATACACAGATATAATTAAACTATGAAAATAAATTCATGAATTGAAACTGGTACACGACCAATGGCCAATGGTAGATGTTTGCAAGAAATGGAAGTTTTTGATTTGTTCCCGTTATTAGAACAATAAATCAATTAGAAGGTGTTGAGAAAACTGAGAAAAAAACCTACAATTCATTTAAACAACAAAGATCACCAAACTAATAAGAAACTTTGTACAACATGTTTGCTAACAAATACAAGTCATAAGTATAACTCATAATTGCAACAAAAGAAGAAGAAAAAAAACACTCTTGAGAAAGAATCAAGATAATTGAACACATCTTGAAGAGAAAATGGAAGAAACATTATGAAACAAACCAACCACAATCCCCATTTTCACTTGACCTCTCTTTGGAATCATGCGACGCTTAGAAATATTATTACTCTTGTTGGATAAATTACTTTTGTACATCAAATCCCTTCTTGTGATCACAACCAAACCCATCTTTCCCTTCATCTTCTTTCTTTTTTGATCAAATTTGAATGACCACCACACCTTGATAGAGTTTCACTCACAAGAGTCAAGAGGTTTCTCTTTAGCTAGCTGTATATTGTGAGTTTCACACTTCACTTACTTATATAGAACTTTAGTGCTTGAGCTAAAACCTTAGAATAATTTAATTGTAAATTTTTGTATTTATCTTCTTGAATATGATGTCGTTGTCACGTGGAGTTGTGGCTTTTGAATTGTTTATTATTGATGGCAATTTTGACCTTGCTTTCTTTGCCAGCTATCCAGCATTTACTTTCTACGTTTGATATTAACAAAATGATATGCACTTAACTATGCTTCAACTAATATATAGGCTTATGAATTTGATGTGAAGATAACAAAGTTATTATTATATTTTTGAAACGCGTCTCATAGTAATATGATATCTATTTGAATTAACTTACATTCATTACAAATTCTAAAAGTATATAAGTTAGTACTTTTTTATTTGGACTATAAGAATCATCTTTTACTAATATAAGCCAGTTTTAAATAAGGATAATAATATAAATTATTTATTTAATTTTTATAAAGTATCTCAATTTTTTTAATATTTAAATTCCGATATGTTCTTACATTCAATTGTTTGAACAGTGTTGGGTACGCTTGAGTCAATGTTTGAATGAGGTGGATTTTTTAAGTGTAGAAAATAATACATGGGTGTGACTCACAGTCACACTTATATAGAGAAGACAATTAGAATCGTTTATGGGTTGTAAAAAAATACATCAGTGTGACTTGAGATCCTTGTGTATATCACTTAATGGAACACCATCTGTGAGATTGGATCTATGAATTGATTTGATTTTAATGGACATTTGGCTAGTCCAGAACACTTGAACTCTAAGTATGTGATTAGGTTTGAAGCAAAGAGTGTTGAAGTAGGAATTAGTGAGACCGGTCTGAGAATAGGTATCGTTGAGAGGTATTTCTCAATTGAGAAGTTCCACTAGGAAGAGAGAGCTTCGTTGTGGCGTTAAGTATGGGTACTTGAAATTGAGAACATGCACATTTAATGTTTCTTGTGCAGATAAGCATTGCTTTGATGGAGGTCTCCATGTGCATCCACACGCGAATGATAGGGAGGTGGTGCACACAAGTGTGCTCAAGTGCACTTAAGTGTTGTGACAGGTTCGAGATTTGTTGTCTTATTGAATGTGATTTTTGATTTTCTATGTATTCTTGATCGTCGAAATTGACTCCTTTCATGCTTTTAAAAAGGGAACTTGAGTTTCATTTTCATTTTTCGACTTCTTCATCGTGTGTACCATCAAAGAGGGTTTGTTTCTACTTCGTTTTGAACTTGCTGCAATTTTTGGATTTTAGATCATCATTTTGAAGTTCCTTTTGCGTTCTTAACTCAAGTTTACATCTAATTGCATTATCTAAGGTATTTTCTTCTTCTTCTTCTTCCTTCTTTAAATTCTTCATCTTTAAATCTTCTTCGAGTATGACATGCCTAGGAAACTTGGATCTAGATAACCCCAATAGAGACCTTAGTGATATAGAAATAAGTCATGTTGATTATTGAATTGAACCAAAAATAGTTAATCCCAAAAGGTAGTGAGCTTACACTAGTAGTATAAAATGAGTTAGGTTTGTGTTGGGTTTTCCTTTAGTGAAATCCAATTAGTTTACCCATTCTTATAGGGAACCTAATAGATGATTGTTCGACTCAAAGTGTCACTAGGAGATTATGGCGCATGTTAAATCATGAGGTCATTGAGGATGTAAGGCAGTGGTTGGAGGATCAATCAAGGTGTAAAACTTATGGTAAGCACATTTTATCTATGAACAATGAAAATGATATGGAAAAGAGGGTAAAACCATCAATTTTTACCTACTCGATGATGTTGATGAATATCATTATGTGGATGACAAAATTCTAGGGGCTTTATCCTTCTACAAAGCTGAACATAGAATGGAGTATGCTCAACGGTATGTAGCGTCGTCATTAAATTCACATGTGACTTTCATATAAAAAATTGGAAATGCCTATGTATTCGGCATGAGGTGTGTGAAATGCCTCTAGAATGAGGTTTATTTTCCAAAATAGGTTCACCCGTCCTTTGAATGACTCTAAAGTTAGAGTTCTAAGTAATCTAGGGATTTCCCCTTCACCGCTTAATCATGTAAACTGAGCCTATGTGAAGGTGTTCTAACATTTGTGTGAGCATATGATGTTATTCATCCATTTGTTCAATTTTTTAAGAAAGTATTTTCTTTCTTACCACCCTTAAAAGTTGATCTCCTTGAAGAAATTTCGTAATATGTTTGATGTATATATGGAAAGCTTCAAAGGATTCAAAGATAAATATTATTTTGTTGCTCGCAAAAGTCTCTACAAAATTCTAACAGGATCATTTGATGACGGGGAAGGGCATACCCCGTGGAAAGGCGAGTGGGTAGCTTTGAAGCTACAATTTTTGACAAGTTGAGTCTAGAGAAAGAAGTTGACTATCCTCAAGGGTATTCCTATTCTCCCTTAGAAGTCCCCTTGCTCCTCCACCATGTGTAGATATGTTATGAGGTTTTGAACATGAAATCATTTTCTTTATGATTTAGGTACATACATTTATAACGATGTCGATTTATCTCATAAGAAAACAAGGTTGAAGAAGACCATTATGAAGTTCTAGAATAATCTTGGATGTTGAACTGTCAAATATGTTGTATAAGTAACTTCAGCGTCACATGCCTTATGTTTGAGGGACTATGAACTATAAAATATGTTGCCTAAATCACTTTGCTCTACAGGCCTCATATTTGAAGGACAATGTACAAATATGTCAGTAATGACCCAAACCCCCTTGAATCAACCAGACTCGGCCCATCCGCTATTGAGCCTGTTGAACACTCAAAGAATACTTAACTGGGTATATGTGAGGTGAGTCCGACCTCGAGTCATATTGACCAGCTCGCCACAATTTGATAAGAAGGCGAGATCATGAATAAGAGTACCACTCAACTTTGGAAATAGAAATATGAATCAACTATGACTCACATAATGGTTATTGATATTATGTGATTGAATCGAAGACAAAAGAACACAATAGTAATACCCATGAAGATGAATTGTTTTAACAAATGTAAATGAACATAATACTAAAGGCCATAAGGTATGTCGTGCAGTCAATTTCCAAACCAGGGAAGAAGAAGACTTTGAAAAGAATTAATTACGTAACGAAAGCTTAATGGCCATCGTAAGTCAAAACAAAACAATGCAAGTTAGGGGTCTGATCAAGGTATCACTAATTCACATAATGGACATATTAAAGATTTACTTGTCTGACACACGTTAGGTCATATATTTTGTATATTTTTAAATACAGTTGGAACCCATCATAGGACCTAGTAAAATTAACCAGAGCCACACAGGATTTCTTCGAAGAATCTTTATTTTTCTCAACCATTGTTTCATTATGGTATGCACAAGACACATACCCATCTCTAGTGATGATGATATCCTAGCAAGGATGCAAACAACCAGGGACAAATTGTGTCGTCGAAACGAAACCATTCGAAAGAGCTTCCTAAAAATCCATCATCAGCAACAGAAGGGGAATGCACAAGGGGGAACAAAGGAGTTGGATCCCTTAACATCTCTCTATTGAGATTTGGGACACATTTACATAAATAACTTCAAGTCGGCTTCCTTGGTAACATTTGATGGAAAGAGAAATCCTTTATAACATCTCATTGTTGTCACCATGCAAATGGAAATAATTTTCAAAGAGGATTTCATCAAATGTAAGCTCCTAGCTAGAACATAGAAGGAAGCGAATTTGTGCTAGTACATGAACCTTCCCAAGTTCTACGTAACCAATTATCAAGGTCTGTCTAAAAATTTAATCCACCCATTGTTAAGGAGCAAGCATCTGAAGGTATATACCCCCAGTTTTTTTAATATACACTAAGGACACTCAGAATCATAGAGATAATATCTAGAGAGGTTAAAAGGCTATGATCAAAGTAGTCGACCCTAATTAGGAAATGTTTGTAAGCACTTTCTAGAATGAGCTTAAGGTTAAACACCTCAATGAGTCCCTTGCACAGAAGACTATAGATTTGATGTAATATATTATGGAAAGATCATATTTGTTACGTGAAAGAAGAAGAAAGTAATTCTTAAAAGAGGGTCAGAGATGCAAAGGAGTGAAATATTAGGGATTCAATTTTATCCTTCAATTGGAAAAACTACCTCATGCAACTAATTTGAGAAAGGGTGGCCTTCAAACCTAATAGAAGTAAGAACATATACTAAAATACTTCTAAAATATTACACACCTCTAAATACTATGTGAGAGCATATATGGAGGGAATTTTATCACATTAGGGCCATATTTGGCCCTCGACCTCCCAAATAAGATGCAATTGGGAGAAAATCCAACAAGTGGCACAAGTACCAAAAATTTAAGAGCCGTCACACAAGAAGATGCCAACAATTAAAGAATGAGATTGATAATCTCATACAGGAAGGCCATTTAGAAATAAATTTTCAAGGAGCTCAATAAATTTTTGGAGGGAAGTTGCATCATCCTGGACGAGATTGTCCAAGAGTCCTCAGCAGGAAAAAGGAAAAGAGCCTGAAATTGGAGAACATGTTTATTAGACTCTTAACAATATTGTATGGAGGTTTTTCTAGGGGAGGAAAATCAAGATCTTCTCGAAAAACATATGCTTGCCTGGTTATGCATATCTCAAAACTACCCACAAAATCATTAATAAGTCCCCCCTCCCCCGCGCGCCAGTTTGATATCACCTTCCCACATCATGGTGCAGTCAAAATCCTATCCCATGAGGATGATCCCATGGTTAACGACACTCAAATTTTCCAATCAAACTTGAAAAAATTGCCTAGTAGCTCAATTGATTCTCTTTATTGAGAGGCTTTGAAAATGTTATAGTTAGATCCAAATCAGTTGCAACCATTCAAAGGGTAATTAGTAGGCTTTTGAGGTGAT